TTAGCCCCTCAGGAAGTGTTTTTAGCTCAACTTTTGGAGCTTTCAGCTCACTCCACGTGGATGCTTGTGGTTCTGGTTGAGTCTTTTCTGGATGTGCACATTCAGCTCCATCAAGACTGAGGTGGGCGACCATTTTCTCTATGGTTCTGCTGGAGTCCATCATCCTTGCATATTCAGCTGCCTCTTGGTTGAAAAATCCATGTTCACTTGCAACTTGTGTTAAGGCAATCTCTAATGGGTCTTGTACCATAAGTTCTGCAGCAGCATCCTCTGAAATTTCTAGAGAGTCATCTACTGAGAAGGTTTTCCCACCAAGCATAGGTTTCTTCAGCATTTTATCCATCTCAAACTTTAGGATGATGTCTCCAAGATGAAGGTTTATCCTCCCACTTCTGACATCGATTATGGCTCCAGCAGTGCATAGAAAGGGTCTCCCTAGGATGAGAGGGTCCTTTGGTTCTTCATCTAGCTCAAGTACCACAAAATCAGCAGGTACATATGCATTGCCAACCTTCACATGCAGATCTTCAAGGATTCCAACTGGCAGCTTTACAGATCTATCAGCAAAAATCAAGGAGATCTTTGTTGGCTTAAACTTTGTGAATCCAAGTCTTTTAGCCACTGAGTATGGCATCAAGTTGACACTTGAGCCCAGATCACATAAAGAACAAGCAAAAGTCATTGCTCCAATCTGCACTGAGAGAACAAAACGCCCAGGGTCATCCAACTTCTTAGGCATTTTGTTTTGGAGAATGGCACTGCAATCTTTTGTTACTTTGATGAAGTCTTCCTCTCCAGTCATCTTGCTTGTTACTAGGCTCTTCATGTATCTCTTCATTGCAGGCATCATCTGGATTGCATCAGCTAGAGGAAGTTTCACAACCAGATCATTTACCATCTCCCTGCATTTTGCCTCCTCCAGGTTCTTCCTAGACTTCTTTGGAGGAGTAGGGTAAGGAACCTTTGGGACATAGACTCTGGCTGGCGGCAGCAGGTCTTTCTCTACTTCAGTGTGCCCAGCTGTGGTGTTCTTGTCCTCCTCAGGTTCTGTTGTCATTCTCCCTTCTGGATCAGTCACAACATCAGCCACATCTCCTATTTGGGACACAGGTCCTAGTACCTTTCCACTCCTGAGTGAAATGGCATTCACAATCTCTTTTGGATTTTGTTCACCTTTTTCTGGAAGAAAACCGTGTGGTCTCTTGATTGCCTCAGCAGTTTGAGCTACCTGAGTGTCTAGCTTCTTCACATGAGTGTTCAAAGCTTCATACTTGCCATTCAGGTCATTGTACATGTTATCAATCTTGGTATTGATCTCATGGGAGGATTTCTGCTGATTGACGAAGAGTTGTTGCATAAGAGTCTTGAGTTCATCCTGAGAACTTCCTGTGGAGCTTGTAGAGGCTTGGAAGGGCGCTGGTGTTGTAGACTGAAAAGTGTTGAATGGTTGTTTCTGCTGAAATCCACTCTGAAATCTGTTCTGACCCTGATTTTGCATGAAGCCTTGATTTCCTTGAAAATCTTGAGAGAAGTTCTTCTGAAATCCTTGGTTCTGCATTCCTGTCTGTCCTGAAAACCCTTGGGAAGTACCATTGGCGCCAGCATTTTGCATATATGCCTTTCCTTGGAATTGAGGCGCCTGGTTGACCATCTGCTGAGGGTAGACTTGATCCTGTGGATTTTCGACATTTGTGCTCCTGTAGGACAAGTTTGGATGGTTTCTGTAGTTCTGGTTGAACCCCCTGTTTTGAATAAATGGCTGGCCATTCACATAGCTAACTTTCTGCAGCTCATTGTTCTCTTCCTCTGGAAAATCTTGACAAAGAAAAGCATCAGATCCATTTTCACAATTCTGTCCTCCCTTCTGAGTTGCCTTCAGCAGAAGACTAACTTGAGCAGTCAGCTCCTCTATCTTCTGAGATTCCACACTGCTGACTCTTCTTGATCTATCATACTCAGGGCATCTGTTATTAGAACTTGCAGCCAAGTTCTCAATCAGCTCATATGCCTTCTGAGTACTCCTGGTCATGAAATCTCCATTTCTTGCAGCATTGAAATTATTTTTGAACTCCCATTCTACTCCATCATAGAAGATGCTTAGGAACTGCTCATTTGAATACCCATGGTGAGGGCACTCTCTGCGGTATTCTTTAAACCTCTCCCATGCTTCACAGAAAGATTCCCCTGAATGCTGCTGGAAGGTGGTGATCTTGTTCCTCAAAGCAGCAGTTTTGGACTTGGTGTAGAAGTGGTCCAGGAACGCTGCTCTGCATTCACTCCAGTTTGTCAAAGGGCCAGGAGGAAGGGATTTAAGCCATCTCTGTGCTTTGTCAGCCAAGGAGAATGGAAAGAGCTTGCATTTGAGAAAGTCAGCAGGTACTCCATTCGATTTTGTTGTGCTGCAGATCTCCTCAAAATTCTCAATGTGATCCATTGGAAGCTCAGCAGAGAGGCCATGGAACAGATGTTGCTTCACCAATGCAATCATTTGCGGTTTTATCTCATAGCCTGCTCTCTCAATAGCTGGTATGCGGATAGCAGCTCGGTTCCTGTAGAAGGTGTGAGGTGTATCCACATCCCCAATAGCTTGCTGCTCTTGCTGTCGCTGTTGTTGCTGTAGCAACCTGTTCAGCTGCTGTTGTATACGCTGGAGCTCTGTAGCCTGGTTAGCTTGACCCTCTGGCAGATCCTGACCGTCGACGTTATCACACATCGTGACTTGATTCGACTTCTTTTTTCTTCCTTTGTTGTTTGTCCTTTCAACTCTTGCAAGTTCCTGGTTGTTAAGAAGGAGGAGGTTGTCAGAACCTTTACTTCTTCTCTGCATGCACCTGAATCCACAAGAGTGAAAGGAGAAACTAGTTAGTAAATCTTAGACTAAACTTCAATCCTAGATTCACAGGTAACGCTATTGGTCCCCGGCAACGGCGCCAAAAACTTGATACACTCAGGTTTTACCCAAATAAAAGACTGCAAGTGCACAGACAATCACAGTAATATAGATGGGATCGAATCCACAGAGACCAAGGTTACGCTATGATTCTTAATGAATGAAGTGGAGCTAAGACAATGTGATGACTGTTGAATGTAAAAGAAAATGGCTATTAAAATTCAATAAAAGATCAATTAAAGACAGGCGTTAGGTAAAGGGCAATTCGCAGGGATCAGAGATCATGAACCAGACAATTATTCAGGGAACAGATAAGCATAGTCTTGAACTCAAACATGAATGTATAGCTAATCCACTGTCGTGGTATCAGAAACTCTATCTAACAACCTAAGATTCTAAACTGTCGTTTGAACTTAGAATTGTAAACATGCATTAGCGATCAGGTTCAATTTGTTCACAGATTGCCTTAACATCAGCTTTCGTTGGTTAAGGACATTCTGCTCATCTATGTTCTTTCAGGCTTTTAAACAAACACTTTTGGTGTGCTAAACAACCTATAATCAGAAACTGAGTAGCTAATCAAGTTTCAGCAATGAGATCAACGATAAATGAAGACAACAATTGAAATAACCCTATCTATGTCTGCTTTAATAATTCATAATCCCATTGAAACCCTAAACCTAACTGGTGGATTACTCAGACATGGAAGAAGAAGAAAGGCAAAGAGATGAAGAGAAATTCATAAATAATAAAATAGAGATCAACTGGGGTTCAGAAATCTTCTCAGAGATGCTGAGTACAAAGATCGTCTTCCCAAAACTCACAAATTGCCAAAAGCTCTAAGTTTCAATGAAAAAATAAAGGTAGCCTAAACAATGGCTGAAAATTAAGTCTTTATGGGTCTAGACACGAGCTAGATGAAAAATTATGGAAAACCAAGTCGAAATAGGTAAAACCGAAATTTCCTTATTTTTCTGCGCGACCAAACCGGCTGGTTAAGGCATCGGATCGATCGGTCCAAAGTTGGATCGATCGATCTAAATACTCTCGGGAAATCCTGGTCTCATCGGATCAATCGGTCCCTCCCGGATCGATCGGTCCAAAATGTCTCGGGGAAACTTCGACCAAACGGATCGATCGATCCAGTGTGGGATCGATCGATCTAAAATCCCTCGGGCAAATCTTCGGCTTTCGGATCGATCGATCCCTCACGGACCGATCGATCTGTCTCCTCGCTTCCTTTGGATCGATCGATCCAATATAGGACCGATCGATCTGCGCTCCGGAAAAGACTGAATTTGCTCATTTTCTTCATTTCTTCCTTTGCACTGCCTTGGAATCCATCCAAACGTGTTTTGACCTGTAAAGACTCTAAAAACACTAAAAATACTCGATAAAAACCTTTGAAAATCAGTTAGAAGTCAGTAAAATCATAGTATATCACAAATCTCCAATCTTGCTTAGCTTACAGTATTGTTTGCATCTCATCTTCCACAATTTGGATTAATACTTGATCCCTATTTTACAACTGATTAGAAGCTAAGGACATTTGAATTTAGACTGAAAAAGTCCTTCTTCAAATTGGCGCCGTTGCCAATTGTGGATTGTTTGAGTTTAATATTATTGTTAGACTAAATTCTTTACTTTAAAAGTTACTAATTTGCTCTGTTTTCTGTGGTTTGTTTTTTTTTCATGGTGAAATCTTAACATTTTACTTTATCTGTTTGAAAGCATTTTATTCAATATAAATAGAAAATATATGTTATTCTAGATAACTGAATTTTAAACTATGAATCCGTTCTCTATGAGATGATATCAAATTGATTCCAACAACATCTATCTTTATATATAATAAGATCAGACTAAAAAATAATACACTCTCACCAATATCATCGTTTGCTTTTCTTTTTCAAAATTACGTATTTAATGGTCAAAGTCTCCCAAATAAAAATCCAAACAAGAAAAAGACAGAAGGAAATCCATGTCCCAACCAAAACTGATACCTCCTGACTCCTGACTCCCGACTCCTGACTCCTGTCTATATATTGACCCACGTAAGGCCACATGTTAATTCAAGCCTCAGAAATCTGAGTTCCGAAAACCTTTCAAAATGGATTCTTCATCCTCAGTAAAAATCGTCTCAAAACACTTCGTGAAACCCAAAACAATCGCAGAAGAATCAAAGCAACCATACTATTTATCCCCATGGGACTACGCTATGCTATCTGTTCACTACATCCAAAAAGGTATCCTCTTTCACAAGCCAATTCATTATTCCATTGACGCTTTTCTTGAAAAGCTGAGAGAATCTCTCGCCATCACTCTCGTTCATTTCTACCCTCTAGCTGGTCGTCTCTCAACCATAAAAACCGAAATTCCCAAATCATTCTCAGTTTTTGTGGATTGTAACAATAGCCCTGGTGCTAGATTCATCTACGCGACCTCGGATTTATGTGTAGAAGATATCGTTAACCCTACGCATGTTCCTTTGATTGTTCACTCTTTCTTTGACCACCACAGAGCTGTGAATCATGATGGACACACCATGAGCCTCTTATCTGTGCAGGTTAGTATCTATTATATTAAAAGAGGATTACATTTAGAAGTCTAACCTTTATTTGATGTGTTATTTATCTAATATGCCATTGGACTTTCATTAGTTATATAAAAGTTTATTAAATTTATTCTTCTGGTTAAATTATCAAAGGCCTAATTTTTTGTTACTTTTCTAATTAAGAGCCCAATATTTTGTTTTTCTTCTTATTAAAAAGTCCATTTTTGTTTAAAATTTTAAAACTAACTTACTTTCTTTGTTTTTAATTCGAAATTTATAAAAATGTATAAAAATTTCCAAAACAAAAATAAAAAATAATATTTTTAGCGTTTAAATTTTATTTTATTGAAAAATCCTAAAATATGTTAGGCCAACAATTATTTATATAATATTAATTATTTAATATAAAAAATTTCCATTTCAATTTTGTTTTGCTAAATTTAAAGAAAAATAAAATAAAGAATAAGATTAGAGAAGAAGAAAAAAATAAAAAGGAGAAAAAAGATAAAAAAACATAGAAAAATCGAAATAAAAAATAAACAAAACGAAAAAGCATAAGAAAAATTACAGAAAAAAGAACGAAAAAGAAAAATGAGGAAGAAAAAAAAAGAATAAAGAAAAAATAATAGAGAAGAAAAAGAGGGGAAAAACTAAAATCATTAAAAAAAAAGAATGAAAAATAATAAAGTACAAGAAGAACTTAAAAGAAAAATAGAAAAAAATAAGAAGAAGATGAAGAAGAGAAAAAGAAGAAGAACAATAATAAAGATTTAGAAAAGGAGAAAAACAACAACAAAAGAATAATTACGATTAAAAGTTCAAAAAAAAATAATAATAACGAATAAGATAAAGAAGAAAAAAAATATTAATATATTATCTTCATATTAAATCAAACACACTTTTATTGTATAATTTTTTGACAAAAAAACAAGAATACGATTAACAAAAAGATAATTAATCGTATTTTATAACATCCTAGCATTATTTGTAGATTAACTATTTTGATTACAATATTGTTGAATAATAAAATTATATTTTAAAATTGTATTTATAAAACCAACATTTTTAAAATTAATTTATAAAAAAAAATTTACCTGGTTTATCCCTTATAGGAAGGATATTTGGATTTTTAGTTTTTTTATTCCAATGTATAAAAACCGAATCAAATGGTTTGGTTCGGTTTGATACGGTTTTGGCGTTTAGAAAAAATACAAATGATTTTAAAGAAGATTTAAATCGGATATTTGGTTTGGAATGGATTTTTTTTTTCAAAATGACGTAGGAAACTAAATGAAAGGTTTTCAAAGGAAAATGATGTTTGAATCTGTTTATTTTCTTTACATTGTAGCTCATTTTGGGTTTTTGGTTAAACCAGATTAAACAACTTAATTCCTTGTACTTCTCAAAATAAATACAATTTAGAGAGCCTTCATAACGAATTTATGGGTTTGTATACATATTTAGGTGACAGAATTGGTAGATGGAATTTTCATAGGAGTGTCGATGAACCACGCATTGGGAGACGGTACTTCGTTCTGGAACTTCTTCAATTCTTTTTCCGTGATATTTCAAGCACAAGAGATCAACAAAAATGATGACCTGTGTCTCAAGAATCCACCGGTCTTAAAGCGTTACATCCCTGAAGGATACGGTCCTCTCTTTAGCCTTCCCTATAGCCATCCTGATGAATTTATCAGATCTTACGAATCTCCAATTCTGAAGGAGAGAATATTCTCTTTCTCATCGGAGACAATAAGAAATCTTAAAGCAAAGGTTAACCAAGTATGCGGAACAACCTCAATCTCATCTTTCCAATCTCTAACCGCGGTTATATGGAGATGCATAACTAGAGCACGAAGGTTACCCCTCGAACAAGAAACAAGTTGTAGACTTGCTGCTGACAACAGACTAAGGATGCATCCACCGCTTCACCGAGATTACTTTGGAAACTGCATCTCTGCTTTGAGAACAGCTGCTAAAGCCGGTGAGCTGTTGGAGAATGACATTGGATTTGCTGCTATGAAGTTGCATCAAGTGATAGCTGAACAGACTAGTGAAAAGGTGTCTCAAATGATTGATCAATGGTTGAAATCTCCTTTCATTTACCATATTGATCGGCTTTTTGAACCGATGAGCGTCATGATGGGAAGTTCGCCGAGGTTCAACAAGTATGGTTGTGAATTTGGGATGGGAAAAGCTGTGACGCTTAGAAGTGGTTATGCGCATAAGTTTGATGGGAAAGTATCAGCTTACCCGGGAAGAGAAGGAGGGGGAAGTATAGATATGGAGGTATGTCTTGTTCCAGAGTTTATGGATGCTTTAGAATCAGATGAAGAATTCATGTCTCTTGTTTCTTTTTGATAAATTAACTAGCTCTTCCAACTTTCTCAACATTTTCAATTTGTTTATCAACTTCTTCTATGATCACCTCAACATGTTTTCTCACCTTTTTCATTCTCGCTTATGATTTGTGTTTTGTTTTGTTCACAAATAAATTGTTGCGTTTGCGGTACAATAACCAGCAAATCATGATGATTTGTTTAATTACAAATGTAATGTTTTGTCTTGGAATCTGCAAAGTACGGAAATGATTAAACTCATGTGACTTTACGCATAGGAAAATACCCTTTTTGTTTTTTTTGGAAATTTCACGTTGATTAGAGCATCAGAGACATTAGGATGAAAAGCTCTTAAAAAAATTTATTATTAAAAGAAAATTGATTTTAAAAAAAAATGGCAAATCGCATCTCGCCACATCAGCAGAGAGACGCTCTTTCAGTATGTGTGTAGAGAATTGATTCTGGTTTTCAGTCTCGTTATCTCATTAATTATTTTATTTTTCCTTTTTCTTTTTGCTTTAGAACCATCCAAAGCTCACCATTATTAATGTTCTTAATGAACACAAAATGGATATTCACAACTTGCAAGAGAAGGAGAGGGGGGAAGGGGAGAAATGGAGTTATTCAGACGTAACTTGAATTAAACAAAATCAAAACCACAAAAAAAAACAACGTTAAAGTGGTTGGTATTGCGGATTTTAAACCATCGCTGAAGCAAACTTCAAAGCTTATGCAAGTCAGCTAATCTGATGTAATTTTTACGTTCGGACTTTATTTTTGTGTTATGAATATTTAATATGTTTTGAATATCAGTAGTTTTTATATTTTTATAATTTTTTCATATGATTCTAATAATTCGCAGAATAAAACATGTGCTTATGTGTATATTTTATTTTTGTTTGTGTGTAAGTTTATACATATATTTTGATTATCAAATTTTTTTTTGTTTATTTTTTTAAATTTGATTTTTTTATATCTTTTTTGGGGTTATTTTTCTTAATCCTTAGGTGCATCATTTATATATATTTACTTATTTCTCATGCTATTTTCATTTGTTCAAATCTTATATTACAATATTTTTTCAGTATTTAGATTGAGACTTTCTTTGATATCTGTTTTGAGTCTTTCCAAATATATAGTTTACTAATTAAGAAATTTGTAATATTTTATTTTTATCTTTCATTTTCTTTATTTTTATCATCAGCTTTTCTTTAATTTTCATAATTTATTATTTTATTGATTATTAATTAAACACAAACTAGGTGATTGGCCTGCACCGTTTGCAGGCTATAAAATATTTTATATGTTCAATATATCATTAATATTGTATATTGAAGATGCTTTATTTGTATATAATTAATTATATATTAATAATAATATTATATAAACATCTAATAATAAAAAATAACGATTAATCAAATAAAAAATATTATAGATTTCAATACAAATTGAAGATAAAAACACATTAACCAATATATTAAAATACTTCCTTGGATCAAATGTATAAATATGATAATTAAATAAAATAATAAGCATTAAAATATATAATAATTTATTTAATTTTTACGATTGGCCCGTACACATGTATATGTATAATGTTTTTAATATACATAATTAATTATAATATTTAAGTATTGATTATTTTTTTTTTATTATGTAAACATCAAGAATTTATATGTATATTTTTTTAGTGTTTAACAACAATCACACACAATATTTCATATCGTTTTGTATCTTTTAAATATTATTTTCTAGCATTTACAATAACATATAATTGCAAATGTAAAAGTAAGATAAATAATAATTAAATTCTTATAATATGTTTTGAATATTATATATATTATGCTTTCTTTTTCTCCTTACATAGTATAATCTTGCCAATATATATATTTTAAGTATACATTATTCCTTGAACTATTGCTAATTAAACGAAAAAAGGTTTTATCATCTTCACTTATCCTAAAAGCGGGTAGATGGTTGGTCCGCACATTCATGCGTACCAACCACCTCACCGCTCTTGGGACATATAGACATTTTAAAAAAAAATGTCTAATAACCAAAATTAAAATTAGACTGTAATCAAAGTTAACAAAATGTATGTACAACAAATTCGCATGCAATTTTGACCTTTGCACAATTAATATTTATATCTACACATATAAAAGAAAATAATAAAGTATATATTTTCTAATATATATGGCTTTTATGAGTTAAAAG